GCAGGATTTTGATTTTCTTTTTGTCTACCAAACGACGTCCCTCAGTTTCCTCTCTCAAATGGCGAAAACCGCAACTCTTTATCTGTCTTCGTTCAGAAGTTATTAAAACAGTTTGTCTTGGTCCCGTATTCTGAAAAGCGTAATAGAGCTGTTTATAGCCGCAATGTCTTAATAAATAAATAAACAGACGACTTCTCGTGTATAAGCATAGCTTGTATGATTGTTACGAACGTCGAGAACCAAAACCTTCTATGATGAATAAACGAAGATATACTCTCAACAAAAGATTTGACTCTTTAATTCAATTTTAGACGAGATGTGTTCTGTACAACAACATGATAAAATCACTATTATTTGATTGTTTCACATTTATCCTCATTGTTTCGGTGACAATACACTATTTACAAAGTAAATAATTCTTCTTACATTCTTTTTCACCTAAATATTTCAACATTTAAAATTCTCGTTTTAGAACATCAAATATATGCCTTATCATCGTCGTACAATAATAGTAGTGTGGAAATAATGCATGTTACTTGTGGTACTGATGTTATTTTAACTTGTCCAATTAGTTCGACAAAATCGGATGAAGTAGTGAGTATGAGTATAGGATTTGTTGTTTGAAACATTCATTCATTTACGTTCATTTTCATTTGTTTTTTAGTTATCGTGGTATAGAAAAAATACTAATCATAGTCGTCCATCGTATATTTCTATTGGTGACATCTTATTTCGTGAATATGCCGAACGAGGACGTTTTTATTTAACATCAACAAAATCTTTATCACCAGAATGTTCACTAAATAATAACAATGATGAACGGAACGTATGTTCTGTGCTATCAATCACTAATATTATGCATGAAGATCATGGTGTTTACACTTGTAAACACTCAAATTCACAAATAAGAAGAACAGTAAAATTAATTGTGAATTGTAAGTACACTTCATCTTAAATCTGATATTTTGTTGTGCATGTTTATCCCTCTTTCTATCCACCGAGTGCAAAAAAAAAGTTGTAATTGATTTTAATATTATTAATTTTATCACACTTCAAACTGAGACTTACCATGTTAGAGATTGTCATGCTATCAAGTATCTACAAAAGTTTATTATGTTTTTTTACTTTTTAGCTCAACCGTATGTTCATCCGAAACATATTATTGTGTATCCTGTTAATCGCACATTTTCTCTGACATGTTCGCTGTTATGTGAACAAAGTAAAGATAATATTGGTACATTATTACCTATGCATTGGTTATTTAATGGACAATTAGTACATAATATTCTGCCAAATGATCACATAAACATTGAATTATTAAGTTATAATACACAACGTTTAACAGTCTACTTGAATGGACAAAAACGTACACGTACAATTGATGATAAAATAACTGGAAATTATACATGTCAATATAAAACATCACAAACAACTGTACATGTGCAACGAAGAACAAGTAGGTTAAACTTTCTTGAGAAGAGAGTCTCAGAAAGTGTTTTTTTACACCTTCTGTCAGATTTGAACAAATCATTCACAGATTAAAAGTTATGAAATGAGTTCAATCGTTTTGTAAAATACGTTTTTGATTTTTTCACAAAACAAAAATCCAGGTTTTCTAATAGAGATTCTTGTCATCAAAAAAAGGAAAACGTATTTTAAAACACGATCGATACGAATCTTATAGCACTAGAATGTTTTTATTTTTTGATAATTGAAAAAAACGAAAATTTGATTCCTTTACAGTTTTTTTCAATAACAATATTTTTATTTTGAGAATGGGTGTTGCAAATAGTAAAAACGTGCAAAGTTTGAGCATAATCAAACGTTAAGAAGTAACTGAAAACATACTATATTGAAGAGTTCAAAGTTTCGAAAGTTTCTTAGCTTGGGAAAACAGTTGTTTACTTACCGCTATAATGGTTTTAATCAATAAAATTATTTTAATGGAATGAGTATTTCATATATCATCAATATATATGATTTTCGATAAATAGATTCGTCTGTTTACTGGAGAAAAATAGTTATAAAAATCCTAGAAAAATCTGAAGGAAGCCGAAGCGTGGTTCTTACGTAAAGGTCTTAGGTAAATCCCTCTGTTCGTCGTCTGATAAAAATCCATGTTTTTACCTTCAAAGATCTTACGAAGTACCTGCAGGTTAATATCGTATTACAAAAGATATGATACATGGAATGACATAGAATCCGTGACTTGGTATGCTTTTGGTAACTGTTAGAAGTAATCAAGTATATTACGATTGAATAGTGGAAAAGTGTTGAGGTTGTCATACAACTCCAACATTGGATAGCGAGAGAAATTAAATAAAATATTAACCTGAACTAGAAAATTGCTATACAAGTCCGATTCAATTGTCGGATTTAGAGATCACGGTGTTACATTTTATATCACAGATCTGCATTTAAAACGCTTGATCTTGAAAATACAACTACAGTCATTAAATCTTATTAAGATCTTAGGTTATCTTATCTTAAAGAATAAGATCTTATAAGATAATTTTAAGAAATGTCTGAGATTTTTACTAAGATTTGCCGTAAATTATGCTTGGAAATTTGCCTGCGAGATCTGGCAAGAAATTCAATCGTGATTTTCACGAGGGCAAAATTGATCCTTAAAAAAGATAAATCTTCAATAAAAAAATTGAAAAGTGAACACATTTACTTTTATATAACATGAACAGTCAAAGTTCACTTAACACAGCTCCGTCGGTAGATCGTTAGTGAAACTAAATTGATTAAAGATTGGATTTTTTATTCCAAAAAACTCAGTCTTCTACATTTCAAAAATAAGACATACCCTAGAAAGCTCTTCAAAAATTGAATACAGTTTCAATAATTATTATTGATTATTTAAAAGACTTTTCCTAATTTTATTTGAATTATTAGTTTTCTGTTTGCTTTTACTTGCTAGAAATCTCTTGTTATTATTTCTATTTATAGAAGAAGAATTACATCGTTTACCACGTCAGGAAACGTCAATATATTTATCACAAATAACAGACATAGCAATGAGTATCAATCAATATCGACAAAAACATTTCATTTTATTGATAATGAATTTTATATTCGTATATTCGATTACCATTCAGCATGGTGTGCATTTATATACATCAATATAGTCTTTAATTTGCGCTGTATTAATCAAATGTTTCATTTATATTGCCATTCTTATTGTTTTTTCACCTGTATAGGTATTAAAGCCTCCAAAGATCTCTCATTGCGAAAACAATCATTGATTCCTCCATTACTGACTGACGGTGGTCGATAGATAGCGTATTAGCGAAGAATCAATCGAAAACACACATGTATAAACGAAAAATTTTTGCAATAATTCATCTATGTTCAAATGGTGACAAGTACACGTTATATCCAATGGTAAATTTTTAGATTTTTCTTATAGAATGTTTTAAAGTTTATTCATAATAAATTCGAACATTTTATTTCTGGAAGCAAAAGAATAAATTACAAAGAATGATGCAATAACAACAACAACAAAATATATATGAAAAGTCAGGAAAGAATATCAGACTAAATTCGACTACAACTGAGATAAAACAAGAAGCAAAAGAGCAAACACCAGAAAACTCAAACTACGTCACAAAACTACACATGGAAAAATAAAAAATCTTGAATAGAACATAATATTCAATAGTAGTTTGCAGATCACAGCTGGCTAAAATAAAATTCACATATACTTGAAAATATTTGTCTTTTATAATGTATTTGCTGATAATGTTTGCAGTGTTTTATTTAATGCAGCGTATGTTAGATTAACGGCGTCAACATCGACACCGTCTAGAGGAATTTTGTGTGATGATAATGCAACATTTAATTTTTTAACAGCTTCATCTACCAATACTCGTTTTTCGTCATCGGTTAACGGAGATGAACTTGTATCATAACTTAAATCAACATCACCTGAAACATTTAATTTCCAAATTAACATTTGAGCTGACTGATAATCATTCATATCCATGCTCTTTGTTTCATTTAGCATAAATTCAATTTCTGTTGGCAAATCACCATTAATTGTTGTTGCTGTTGATATTTTTTGACTAGCACTATTATCATCATTCAACTCAAGTACATCGTGTTGTTGTTGTAAAGCGGTAGCATCAGCGATGACAACTGGATTATTAGTAGACAATGAATAAGAACAGTCTTGTCCTAAAATTTCATCAAAAATATTTCTGAATAATGGTGAATCATTTGAGTCTAATGCCAGATTATCGACCGTTAAGGTTTTAGTTCTATTTGAATATGATGAAAATTTATGTTGTTGTTGTTGCGTCAAAGTTTCATTACATTTTTCACACATACTTTGACTACGATCGTTCTTGGACGAATAAAACGGGCGTCCTCGACGAGCCACTGGTAAACCACGACCAGAACACATCAGTTTACAACATTCGCAGCATATTCTAGACTGATTAGCTAGAAGAAGCAGAAAACAAACAGCTCCATAACATGTAAAAATAATGTTACAGGAACATTAAATAGTTTCAATCAGTAATTCATCATATACCACTCTTTCCTCTCTTTTCAATTTAAAGGTTACTGTGATAGTATCTAGTAAATATACGGAATCTCTAAAGTATTCAAATACTCTACAAGTTCCAGAAGGATGCCCCGTTGTGTAGCGGTAAAATAAACATCTGTGCCCTTGCACAGATGCTGTTACGCAATTAACATGAAAAAATTCTAGTCAAATATCTAAAATACGTAACGAATAAACGTTTGTTCATCGAATGAACTACATGTTTCTTCTACTAATATGTTAGAACAATGATCAATAGAGTATTCTTTGATTATCTCCTCATTATTCTCATATTTTCATTACCTCGATTTTTTGCAGGCATACCATCTGCATCATTAATCTCTATTGAACGAGTTCTTTTTCTCTCGTTAACCATTTTCAAATTGTTAATATTTACAGTAACTGGTGATTCTGACGTTGAATTTAACAAATTAATTTCCATTTGCATTTACTGTGTGAACCGCATCACTGAAAGTGACTTACAACAATCAACTATCAATAAAAATATTCGACTTATATTATTAATACTATAAGATCTTCTAAATCCAATATTATATTTAAAAATTTTATTACTCGTGTTGGTTTATCTAAGAGAGCGAAAATATGCAATGTACACCCCTATTTATATAGAGAAAAATGTGTGCTGTTTGCTGGTTTCTTTTTTTACATTAATTTTTCTCTTTCTTTATTTTTTATATAGTCAGGATTTTACCTTTCGTCAATGTTTTTTATCTGAATTTTGTTTCTTTGGCATGGTTTCTTTTTCTTTCTTCTTTATTTTTACTATAATAAAAACAGAATGAATAATTTATAGTTAGACAGATACCCAGACATGATAATAGTAAGAAGAACAACAACATAAGAAAAATCTATTAAAAAAGCTAATAATAATTTTAATAAATTCTTTTTTGTTGTATTAGTGTCACAAGTGTGTCGGTCGACAACACTATTTTTTGTTCATATTAGCGTCATGTTTTGATAGGGAAAAAACACAACGGTGACAACAGAATGCTATTTAGAAACTTTCTTCTTTTCTATTGATGTCATTTAAATGGCGATGCATTCTTGTCATGTTTCTTTTTTTGGGGGGTACAATTATTATATTGTTAGTATAGAAAGAAAAAAGGTAGCAGTGTTGACGAAGTGTTGAGTAGATGGAAGAAGTTTTCTTATACCATAAGATGAAAAAATAAAATTATTTCATATTTTTTTTTTACCCTAAGAAGATTTATGATATGTTCGATCAGCTAAAGAATTATTATTTAAGTCAACAAACACATCTTTAAAATAAATGTATATCTCTGAATAATTTATCTGCTCAAGGACATATATCTCATACGGCATTTTTAAAGAAATGTGTCATTTTTGTTTAATTTAGTTTTCTATCATATTTATAAACATTCAGAATACGCAAAGAATTTGATGAGATTTTTTAAAAAAACTCCATTAAACTCATTTTCAAACAAGTGTGTTTAACTAAATTTGTCAGAAACGTATCAAAATGTTTCTTATATTCTAAATTTATTTAAGTAAATCTTTCTGAAATACATCTGAATGCATTTTGAGCTGACATGTCTGTTGATAGGTTATTTGAACAAAAGGTTGCCGAGAATGGATATAAATACATTGTTCTAAAAATTAGTTCAGACATATTTTTCTATAAGAGTTTCAAAACAATTAACTTAAATTCATCTTTTTCAGAAAAAGATCCATTTTAAATTCATTTTTGCATAAAAAATGGCACATTGTGCTTTCTTCAAAAAGTATCGAAATAGGATGCGGCTATGGCTCTAAGGACAAACATTGACAAGAATTTAATTAGCTTTTGAAACACTCTAAAAAAACTGCCACTTAGGATCAAATTAAGTCGCATTAATGTGTCTTATTTTCACAGAATAAGATACATTAATGCGGCTTAATTTGATCCTAAGTCGCAGTTTCTTTTAGAGTGCAGATCAAGCAGATATTTCTTAAATATTACGTCTCTTATATTTTTCTCTTAATTTAGCTGCTTGAATTTTGTGCTGGAAGAATATTTTTGCCGTCCACATTAACAAACCTGAATAAAAACATCCGATAGAGCTTGTTCGCCGAAAAGCAGTGTGTCGAATAAATAAAAGAGAACGAAAAACAGTGTTGTCGTGGATCAATTGCAGGAAAAAATGTGTGCTAATGACACATGAAGCGTTGACTGCTAGCACAACCGTTCAACAGAATTTTACCATGTTAGAAAAGGACTATG